TATTAACTTACATTTTTAATATTCTAGCAGTGTTTTTATTTCATATTCTGGAATACAGCAAAATACAGATGTATAAACTTCTCAACCTAGCTGTGTCACCTTTGGAAACTCAATCTCTCAGGGGCTGGATTCTCTTATCGATAAAACGTGAGGTTTCTCCTTTCTAGTTCTGAACTGTTTTTCATCTTTCTAAATTAAAACAAGGAAAGTATTATAGTAACAAACTTATTCCAATATTACAACTTTTTATTTTGTTACTTTTTAAAAAAAATTTTACTTTAGGTTCTGGGGTGCAGGTCATGCAGGGTTGTTGCATAGGTGCATACATAACCAGGTGATTTGCTGCCTCTATTCCTCCTTTGACTTTATCTGGCATTTCTCCCCATTTTATCCCACTCCCACTGTCCCTCCCCTAACCCCTTGCAACTTCCCCCAGTGTGTAATGCTTCTTTTCTGTTCTTGTGTCAGTTTGCTGAGAATGATGGTTTCCAGATTCATCCAAGTCCCTACAAAGGACACAAATTCATTGTTTTATTATGGCTGTGTAGTATTCCATGGTGTATATGTGCCACATTTTCTTTGTCCAGTCTATCATTGATGGGCATTTGAGTTGGTTCAAGGTCTTTGCTATTGTACACAGGGCTGCAATGAACGTACGTGTGCATGTGTCTTTATAGTAGAACAATTTATAGTCCTTTCAGTATATACCCAGTAATGGGATTGCTTGGTCAAATGAAATTTCTATTTCCAGATCCTTGAAAAAAGAAATCGCCAAACTGTCTTCCACAATGATTGAACTAATTTACACTGCCACCAACACTGTAAGAGTGTTCCTATTTCTCCACATCCTCTCCAGCATCTGTTGTCTCCAGATTTTTTAATGATTGCCATTCTAACTAGTGTGAGATGGTATCTCAACGTGGTTTTGATTCGCATTTCTCTAATCACCAGTGATGATGAGCATTTTTCATGTTTGTTGGCCTCATATGTCTTTTTTTTTCTGACTAGTGTAACAACACAAGAAGGAGTATGTGTCCTAATTCTCAACATCCCTAATGACTTCATAATCGATACCCAGGAGGGGTTTCTGTAACTTTCTCATTTTGAGGGTGGGGATGCAAACTGAAACTTCCTAGAAAAGCCAGTAATATCAACAAACAGGTAAATTTTGTTTGCACACTAAGTAATCACTCTTGAAAAGGATAAAAAGCCACATATAAAGAAATGCAAAGTAAATGGTTTTTGAAGATTATCAGCACAGAAATATTTGTGTGACTGCCTATGTGCCTATGAATGAGTAACTTATGAAGCTTGGGTGCCTCCTTCAAAGAGGAACTGCTATGTTTCCCTCTCATTCTTTTGGGCTACTTTAAATGTCATACTTGGCCCCAATGTGCGAAGCATACATGGATTACGAATTTTATAAAGAGGTCCAAAATTAATAATAAAAGACAAACACCTAGTAAAGACTAAGTGTGAGGAATTCTACATAGATTATCTCATTAACTGTTTTAAATAATCCCGTAAGCTAAGTATTACTATGTAAACTCCTTTTAAAAAATTGTAACAGATTTATTGAGATATAATATACATGCTTTGATATTCACCTTTTTAAAGTATATAAGCTAGTAGTTTTCAGCATATTGACAGAGTGGTACAACTATTACCATAATCTAATTTTGTAATATTTTTTGTCTTTCCAAAAAGAAACCCTGAACTCATTAGCAGTAACTCCCCATTTTTCCTTCCTGGTAGTCCCCAGTAACCACTAACACTAATCTAGTTGTCACTATGAATTTGCCTACTCTAGCATTTAATATAAATGAAATGATAAATATGTGGTCTTGTGTAACCGTCTCACTTAGCAGTTTTCAAGGTCCATCCATGTCCTCTCAATATTTGTGTGCACATTTCTTTGTAGACATATGCTTTCAGTTCTTCTGGATATACACTGGGAATGGAGTTGCTGGGTCATATTGTAATTCCATTTTTAACTTTTTGAGGGACTGTCAAACTATTTTCCAAAAGGGCTGTACCATTTTACATTTCCAATAGGAATGAATGAGAATTTCAATTTCTCCACATCGACAACAGCTGTTAACCGTCTTCTTTATTATTAGCTATGCTAGTGAGTATTGTTAGTTTGAGTTGCATTTCCTAATGGTCATACTTTCATAAACATTTTGGCTTACTTACATATTTTCTTTGGAGAAATGTCTGCCATTCTATGTGTTGTCTTTTTACTTTCTTAACGCTGTGCTTTCATACAAAAAAGTTTTCATGAATCCAGGTTATTTACTTCTTTTGTTGTATATGCTTGTGATGTCATATATAAGAACCCACTGCTTAACTGAAGGTCATTAAGATTTCTGCCAATGTTTTCTCCTAACAAGAGTTTCTTGAGTTTTTACTCTGTCATTTTGACCTATAATCCATTTTAGTTAATTTTTGTATACGGTATATGAATGCCATTTTACAGAAGACGAAACTAGGTAAAGAAAGGCTAAGCAATTCTCCCGAAGTCTCACAGTATGCAAGGGGCTAAGACAGTATTCAAATCTAAACAACCTGGCTCATGGGTATGTACACTTACCTGCAATTGTAATGCTACTTCTGTACTGTAACTGAATTTTTTCTTTTGTCAAAATAGATGTAAATTGATAAATTAAATGGGCATTGTTCTTTTAATTATCAATGAGTAGAGAATGTAATAGGAAACTCCTAAAGAAATGTCAATATTGCTACAAAAGGGATCATCTAGTTTCTTCTTTATTCAAAGTAATGTTGCAAAGACACAGGAGAACTTTAAAAAGCAAATCCAAAGTTTACGTGCTACAAATCTCCCATTTTCCCATTGCTTTTATCAATTGAAATCACAACAGAAAATGCACCAAACATTTGTTTTCATCAGTATACAAGGCCTATATTCATTTACTTTATTAGTTTATATCCCCCTTATATTATGTCACATTCTGTAAAAACTAATTTTTTGAAAGGCGACCATCTTAAATCTAGATGTTTATCAATTCCAACTATTAATAATTTTTAATCTATAGAAATTTCCCTAAAATGATATTTAAAACTATATATTCTCATTACAGTCCTGTAAAGAAGGATTTTGGTCATTAACATGCCATTTCACATGAAGGTCCAGGGAAATTAGCAAGGTTTAACTGGCAATGCTAAGTAACACTAATATTTATTAAGACATTGGTCTTGTCAAAATTTTCTCAGGTTGCTTAATATCCAATGTAATATCTTACCTACCATGTATTACTGACTCATTTAGCAGAGCAATCATTAATTATAAAAATCAATTAAAATTCATAGAGAACTGTGTGTTATCTACCATATAAATGATTTACATTATATCAGAGACATTTCAGAGAAGTTTATTAAATAGACCTTTCAATTCTACCTGCTATGCCACTGACAGACTTTTTACAAAGCCAATTAATTTTATCTAGGTAACAGTGGTTATATATTTCTCAACTCTACGTGCCTATTATTTTTATTTTATACAGACACACACACACACACACACACACACACACACACACACAGAGTTTGTTGCAAAACAAAGATAGGTATTGGTTAAATGAGAAGAAATCTGCCTGTCTGCATTTTCTTGCTGACTCAAAGCTTGATTTTAATTTGTACTGTATTCTTCTGTTAATGAAACTGTCAATTTAAAATGACTATCAAAGTCTATAACATTAATATAATGAATACAGTCTCCTAGAATCCCAAAAGAGGTTTTTAAAAATAAAAATGTTTAACTTGAGGCTTCATAATAGATGCCATCCACAGAAGGTTTTTTTTTTTTTTTTAAATTTCTAATGAGAATACTTGATACCTTCCATGAGCTCTGTAATCTAAACCAATCTGTATAATTCTGTCAGTATAAAGAGGTCATCTGAATTCAGAAAAGGTTGGAAGCTTTAGGCTTTGTTTTCTTTCCAATGGCACAAGTAAGTTTCTGCAAGCTTCAGAATCACAAATTCAAATACAACACTGGCTACATATAACTAAGTGGTGGCCACCTGGAGAAAGGTCCCCTAAAAGCGTTGTCCTGCACATTTTAACATTTCGTCCACCCCTGACTAACAGGCACCCAAATGCTTCTATTACCCACCCCCTTTTATTGAGATAGGGTCTCACTCTGTCACCCTGGCAGAAGTACAGTGATGTGATCATAACTCACTGTAGTCTTGAACTCTAGGCTCAAGACATCTTCCTGCCTCAGCCTCCTAAATAGTTAGGACCATAGGCATGCACCACCACACTGGCTAGTTTGTTTGTTTGTTTGTTTTATTTTTTGTAGAGACAGGGTCTTGTTATGTTGGTCAGGCTGGCCTTGAACTCCTGGCTTCAAGCAATTCTCCGGCCTTGGCCTCCCAAAGTCCTGAGATTACAGGTATTAGCCACTGCTCCTGACCTGTACTACTTTTGATTATTTAGAATACCAAAGAACAGGTTATCTCCAAAGCTCTATAAGTCCTTCCTAGGATTGTTATCATTCTGGGACACTAATGTAAGACAAAATAGAAGGTCATAAATAAATTCATTCTTCAAAGTATAATGTGCTAAAAAATAGTTGAGTCATTTACCATCTTCAAATACATCTATGAAACGTAATATGTAATAAACATAACAAAGCTTCTTAGATACAAAAAATTTAATAATACATTGGAAGCTGGCAAAATAAGTTTCTCCAGATGCCAAACACGTAATGTATATGAGAGTCACTTAAGTCAATGAAGCATTTGAGATCCAGGCTAAACAAGGGGAAACATTCTATAAGTGTTAAAAAGTATCATTTTTAATCTCTATTTTTTCTGGTCGGCTAAAGGATATAACTTTTACATTCTAGTCCAATCATATTATAGAAAGAGAAGCTGCTTAGTAGAGAAGCAACTTCAATTTGAAAATTCTATTTGCTTAAAAAGAGAAGAGTTTACTCTATAATACAAGATCATAACCAGGGTACCTGGGTTTACCTTTGCTTTGCGAAAGTGGTAGACCACCAGCATGCTGATGAAGTCGAGCAGCATACACAGGGCTTGGAAGGAGATGATGGCAAGTCTCAAATACTTATCCTCCTGGACGAAGCATGGGCTGTCATCAGCACAGAAGGGGCAGCCCTCCCTGCAAGGTAGGCAGACATAGGCTTCTTCTGACACATCTTTGGTACTTCCTAAAGTATGTTGATCCGGACGCCTTCCTGAAAGTTCCAAATGAAATTACAGTGTCATTTGCGCCTCTTGGGTAAGTCAGACTGAGTACAGAGTCAAAAGACATCCTTGACTCTTTGTTCCTTTTCTCATTGATTAAAGACCTTTTGTCAACCTTCTCGCGAGGGGAAAGAGTTACTTTTCCATCAGACTCTAACAAAATTCTTTTTATCTTTTTGATGTTAAAAATCATCATTGAGAGTGATTGAGGAAAATTAGCAAAAATGGAAATAAAGCTTCATGAGGGCAGGGAACAGTTTTCTAAGTCTTTTATATCATTATCTACCACTCACCAACTGAAAAGCACACATCATATTCCACAAATACTTGTTAGAGAATTAAGCAGAAGTAGTAATAAGAAAGTTGATGTTTTTATGTACCGAGTAAATACATGCATACCTTTGGGAACTTCTTGACCTAGATAGTACAGAATCCAAAATGAGACTCTGCTCCTTAATTCATTCATCAGGGATCTCATCTACCAAGTTCATTAGGTCTAAATTAGATAAAATGGTATTTAATCGACAGCTGCTCAGTGTGCAACTGCCTAATGATGGTGTATCCTTTGTCCAGAGTACAGTTCATACTTCCAAGCTATCCTGTAATTTCCCACTTTGCATGCCCTTAGGACATTTCCACACTATTCACTTACTCTATCAATCCTCCTTTCAATTTTAGGTTCTGTCTCCATTATCAGATTTAAGTTACTTCTGAAGCCCAATACATGAAGATTCTCTTTAATATTTAAGATGAGTTTAGCACCAACTATCCAATTAATGCCAAATACTAAGAAAAAAAAACAGAAACAACTATTTCCACCTCAGAATTCAACATAAAAGACATTAATGAATTTGAACTCACTTTAGTATATGACACAACTTTGATTCGCTGAGGAATTTGGGAAAGAGGTTATTCTAGGTAACAGGATTTTAATAATACACCTTTTAACAAAGTCTTTGCTTCTTTCAACTCTTGTTAAAGGTTTACAATGTTTCTATAATGTATTTCTCTGCTTTGTTTCCTCAGTAAAAACAATAGGAAAACCATAATTGAATATTTATTTTATGATTCTGGATATATTGCTATTTAAAAGTCATCATTCTGTTACATGACACAAAGCAAATGGATTTTTGTGTGAAGCAGACATAGTTCCCTCCTCCAGATAACTCTGTGACATGAGACAACTCACTGGACCACTTTGGGTCTTAGTTTACTTATTTATGACACATGAATTCCTGTGGGATTAAATGAGGTTATTAATATTCATAAAAATCATAGTGACTAGCTCTTCCTCCTCTTCTCCAAATACAGGAGATGCAAAGAGTAATTAGGAATTCATGGTGACTTAAAGAAAGATATTCCTCCTAAACAGAGAAGTTAGAAGAAAGAACTGAGATATAGAGGAAGTGTTAGAGACAGAACCTGCAGAGATCTCTAGGAGTGGGTAAGATAATGATTAGGATATGTACAGAGGGAGATGCTAGACAGGGAGGAGTATTTACAGTGTCATAACAGAATTGGAATTTACTGGAAAATGCCAGATCAATATGATGATCGAGAAAAGGCTACAAGATTATTTTATCCTTCACTGATCTTTAAGACAGTAGTTTCCTAAGAGTGGGAGATTTAGTCCCTAAGTTGTCAAGGCTTAAGGACTAAATAAGTAATAAGATAAAATATTATTTAACTAAATATTCTACTGAATGAAAAAAGCAAGAAAAACTATGGTCGACAGGAATAATGATGCTATTTCTAAAAAGTGATTTTTTTGTTGTTGTTGTTGTTGCTTTCTTTGAAACACATGAGATCATAACACAACCGCATTCAGGAAAAGGAGCCACTGGAAATTGAGGAATTATATGAGAAGAGCGTTAAAGAAAGGATTTGAGAAGTCATGACTGGATGTAATCGACAGCATAAATGGAGAAATTAACTCTAAGAAGATTTGATATCTCTTCTTCTAACACTAGAAAAAAGTAGAGGTAAATCAAAGATTTTTTTTCAGTACATATTTTAATTTTTAATTTTCGTGGAGAGAGAGAGAGAGCGAGAGAGAGAGAGAGAGAGAGAGTGTGTGTGTGTGTGTGTGTGTGTGTGTGTGTGTGTATTTTAATTCTACTTTAGATTCTGGGGTACATGTGAAGACCATGCAAGATTGTTGCTCAGGTACATTCACAGTAAGGTGGTTTGCTGCATCCATCCTCCCATCACCTGTATCTGCCATTTCTCCTTATGTTATCCCTTCCTACCCTCCATCCCCTGGCACCCCCCAACAACCCCAGTGTGTGACACTCCCCTCTGTGTCCATGTGTTCTCATTGTTCAACACCCACATGAGTGAGAACATGCAGTTTTTGATTTTCTGTTCTTGTGTCAGTTTGCTGAGAATGATGGTTTCCAGGTTCATCCATGTCCCTACCAAGGACATGAACTCATCGTTTTTGATGGCTGCAATGGTGTTTATGTGCCACATTTTCTTTGTCTGGTCTATCATTGATGGACATTTGGGTTTGTTCCAGGTCTTTGCTATTGTAAACAGTGTCATGATGAACATTGGTGTGCATGTGTCTTTATAATAGAATGATTTATGGTCCTTTGGGTATATACCCAGTAATGGGATTGCTAGGTCAAATGGAATTTCTATTTCTAGGTCCTTGAGGAATCGCCACACTATCTTCCACAATGGTTGAACTAATTTTCACTCCCACCAACAGTGTAAAAGCATTCCTATTTCTCCACATCCTCTCCAGCATGTTGTCTCCAGATTTTTTAATGATCACCATTTTAACTGGCGTTGAGATGGTATCTCAATGTGGTTTTGATTTCCATTTCTCTAATGACCAGTGATGATGAGCATTTTTTCAAACATTTGTTGGCTTCATATATGTCTTCTTTTTGAAAAGTGTCTGTTCATATCCTTCACCCACTTTTGAATGGGTTTGTTTGTTTCCTTCTTGTAAATCTGTTTTAGTTCTTTATAGATTCTGGATATTAGTCCTTTGTCAGATGGGTAGATTGCAAAATTGTTTTCCTATTCTGTTGGTTGCCAATTCACTCTAATGATTGTTTCTTTTGCTGTGCAGAAGCTCTGGAATTTAATTAGATCCCATTTGTCTATTTTGGCATTTGTCGTTTTAGTCATTAATTCCTTGCCTATGCCTATGTCCTGGATGGTTTTGTCTATGTCTTCTTCTAGGGATTTTCTGGTGTTAGGTCTTATGTTTAAGTTCTTAATCCAGCTGGAGTTAATTTTAGTGTAAGGTGTCAGGAAGGGGTCCAGTTTCTGCTTTCTGCACATTGCTAGCCAATTTCCCAACACCATTTATTAAACAGGGGATCCTTTCCCCATTGCTTGTTTTAGTCAGGTTTGTCAAAGATTAGATGGTTGTAGATGTGTGGTGTTGCTCCGGAGGCCTCTGTTCTGTTCCATTGGTCTATGTCTCTGCTTTGGTACCAGTACCATGCTCTTTTGATTACTGCGGCCTTGTAGTATAGCTTGAAGTCCAGCAGTGTGATGCTGCCACGTTTGTTCTTTTTGCTTAGAATTATCTTGGCTATGAGGGCTATTTTTGGTTCCATACGAAGTTTAAAGTGGTATTTCCCAGTTCTGTGAGGAAGGTCATTGGTAGTTTGATGGGGATAGCATTGAATCTGTAAGTTGCTTTTGGCAGTATGGCCATTTTCACAATATTGATTCTTCCTAACCATGAGCATGGAATGTTTTTCCATCTGTTTGCATCTTCTCTTATTCCTCCATCAGTGGTTTGTAGTTCTCCTTGAAGAGGTCCTTTACCTCCTTTGTTAGTTATATTCCTATGTATTTTGTTCTCCGTGTAGCAATTGTAAATGGGAGTTTGTTCTAATTTGGCTCTCTGTTTGTCTGTTATTGGTGTATAGGAATGCTTGTGATTTCTGCACATTAATTTTGTATCCTGAGACTTTGCTAAAGTTGCTTAGCAGTTTCAGGAGATTTTTGGCTAAGATGATGGCATCTTCTAAATATACAATCACGTCATCTGCAAATAAAGACAATTTGACTTCCTCCTTTCCTAATTGAATACCCTTTATTTCTTTTTCTTTCCTGACTGCTCTGGCTAAAAGAGTGGTGAGAGAGGGCATCCTTGTCTAGTGCCAGATTTCAAAGGGAATGCTTCCAGTTTGTGCCCATTTAGTATGACATTGGCAGTGGGTTTGTTATGAATAGCTTTTATTATTTTGTGATACATTCCATTGATACAATACACATTAATCACAAAAGTATCTGTGGAGGTATTGTTTGTTTTGTAAAATAGTCCTTCTTACACAAATCTTTGCTTTCTTGCTTCAAATAAATAGGCTGACCTTTTTTCATTAGCTTAAAAAAATATTGGCTACATTTAAACCAAACAGTATACATTATTTACTTTCAATACAAATGAAACTTAAAATTTCACCCACATCAGCTAAGATTTAATTCTCTGAGATGGGATAAGCAAAGACTATTTAGTACCTCAAATCACTCAAACTTGAAAATTATTGCAGTATGTTAACTGCTTAGTATATTTAAACTTGTTAGTTTTTGCAGGGTTAGGGTTTTGGGTAAAGGAGTAACACGATATGCTTTATGTAATTAATTGCTTTGGTTGTATAGAGAACATACTATAGAGGAAAAGGGAAGAAGCAAGAATCATGGTGAGAAGCTACTGTAATAATCCAGGTGAGACTTGAAAGTGGTTGGACCACAGTATAGCAGTAAAAATGGCTGCATGCAGAGTCTGAAGGTCAACATAATTTTAGATGACTTGGTTATCACGTGAGAACAAAAGAAAAGAGTCAAAGCTGACTCCAAGGTGTTTAGCATGAATGAGTGGAAGAAAAAAGTTACCATCAACCAAGATGGGAAAGAATACATGTGGAGAAGGTTTTAGAAGTCCAGTCTTGACATGTCAGGTTAAGGATGTCTACTAGAGATTAAAGTGAAGATATCTAAAAGGTATCTTGATATATGTGGA